TAAGTTGTTAATATTATGAGTCTTTAATTGTAATAATACTGGTATAATGATACTAAGGGACAAGATAAAACTCTACTTTAATAAGTGAGAGTTGTGGGTCATTAAAATTATTTTTTAATCGAAGAAGTACGGCTTAGTGTCCCAGCAATTATATGTAAGCCTTCTTCGCTGCGGTAAGAGTTGGATCCTTTCCTTTTCCTCAGCCTCAGCCACTTGTCTTCAAAAAAAATTTATTTTTTAATTATTTTTTCTCAATTCAAATGGTTAAAGTATGAGTTTTTATCTACATTATTAAAGTTTGATGGTAATTATTTTAAGTGATAATAAAAAAAAGTTACTATTTTTATACTAATTGATGATTTTTTTTGTAATGACTATCAATTTTTTTAATGATAATGAAACTTACTTTACCAATATCATATCATATTATTATCTTTAAACTTATTTTTTTCATTATCAATTAATTCAAATCATTTAAAATTTAATTTTAAAAACTTAAAATTATCTTAAAAATTTATTTTCTTTATATTGTTCGTCATCTTAAAACATACAAATATATAATTATATAAAATATGTACACATAAAAAAAAATAGCAACAATTAAAAACTTTGTAGAATAAAAAAAAAATTTTGAATAAGTGGTAAATTTAATAATCATATGGTAAAAATAATAATAACTTTCAATACTAATATCGTACTACAGGTTTAAATAGTATTATCATATTATTATTTAAATTTATCATATAATAATTTATCATATTATTTTTGTTAATAAATGATAATTGTGATATTTATAATATAGTACCCAACCCTAACCCTAATGCACTCATTATTTGTCAAGTAAACTGAACGGTCCGGGTGTTCCTGGTAGGGCACTTTTGTGGGTTACTTTTTTCATTTCAAGTATACCGAAGGTGGTGCCTCTAACAAATTTTTTCTTTAAAACCGTGAGATGCTTCTCTTAATTTTTTAATTTTTTAAAGCCCGATAGAGGAGTTTACCATAGCTCAATTTTAGGTTTCCGAAACGTTATTCGTTACTTTAGTTTCCGAAACATTATTCATTGCTTTGGTTTTAA